CCCACCCCGGCAGTTTCCCACTACTGCCAATCCTTTTCTTATAGTATTGTGATAATTGTTCAAGGTCCACTATGATTGAGAACATGTGATAGTCGTTTCTGTGATAGATCACTCAGTATTATAGACTCCAAGTGCATCCAAGTTGTTGTGAAGTTCATAATTTTGTCCTTCTTTATGGTCGCATAATATTCCATTGTGTATATGTACCACATATTTTTTATCTAGTCCTTTTTCGATGGGTAGCAGTTAGTTTCATGTTTTCTACTATTGTGAAGAATGCTGCAATAAACATGTGTGTGCAGGTATCTTTTTCATAGAGTGATTTGAGTTCTTCCAGGTATATTCCCAGTAGAGGGATTGCAGGATTGTATGGGAGGTTGATTTTCAGGAATTACCAAACTGTTTTCCACAGAGGTTGTACTAGTTTACACTCCTACCAACAGTGTAGAAGTGTTCCCTTTTCCCCGCGTCCTCTCCAGCATCTGTTGTTTTTTGAGTTATTGATGATGGTCATCCTGACTAGAGTTAGGTGGTACATAAATTTTTTTTAAAAAAATGAATTGACTCTTTAAAGCAAAAATAATAATTTACCGTGCATTTATAACATAGACAGAAGTAAAAACCTGTGACAAAACTAAGAGAGGGAAAATGGAAGTATATTTGTGTAAACTTCTTATACTATACATAAAGTGGTATAGTTTTTTGTTGTTGTTGTTGTTTTTTTGAGTTGAAGTCTCACTCTGTCGCCCAGACTGGAGTGCAGCGGCCGCTCCCCGCCACTGCAGCCTCGACCTGCTGGGCTCTGGCAATCCTTCCGCCTCAGCCTTCCGAGTGGCCGGAATTACAGGTGCACGCTACCATGCCCAGCTAATTTTTTTGATTTATTGTAGAGATAAGGTCTCGCCTGCCCAGGCGGGTCTCGAACCCGCGGGCTCAGGCAATCCACTCACCTCAGCCTCCCAAAGCGCTGGGATTACAGGCTGAGCCACCGAGCCCGGCTTAGTGGTATAGTTTATAGGTTAAAGATATATGTTAGAAATCCTAGGGCAACACCTTAAAAAAAACAACAAGCTAAGAAGTATGGCTAATAAGCCAACTAAGGAGGTTGAATCATGAAGATCATTGAGCTCAATCATAAAAATTTCCCTATCAATCTAAAAGAAGGCCAAAAGGGGTGGGGGGAGAGAAAAAAAGAACAGATGGGAAAATAGAAAACAAACAGCAGTCACAGTCATAATCACTTTAATAAAAATAATTTATTTTTTTATCTAAAGCAATCCACTCACCTCGGCCTCCCAAAGTGCTGGGATTACAGGCATGAGCCCCCAGCCTGCCCTGATTTGGGTGTTTAAAATATTTTCAGGCCTGGCACAGTGGTTCACACCTGTAATACCAGCACTTTGGGAGGTCGAGGTGGGAGGATTGCTTGGGACCAGAATTTGGAGGCTGTGGGTGAGCCATGATCATTCCACTGCACTCCAGCTTGGGCAACAGAGACCTTGACTCAAATAGAAAAATAAAGAAAACAAATAAAAACGCCCATATTAAAACGAAGAGATTGTCAGACTGGATAAAAAATAAGACCCAACTATATGCCATCAACAAGAAAGCCAATCTGAATATAAACACATAAATAGATTTTTTTTTTTTTTTTTTTTTGAGTTGG